AAAATATTTAGAGAAAAGAAAAGGAGATCTAGTACAAAGCCTGTATTTATTAGAGTTAAAAAGGAAAAAAATCTTGTGAATGAAAAAGATACTTTAAACAGTCGTAAAGAATATTTTAAACATTTGCCAAATGAACAAGAAGATATGGAAATAAGCTCAGGAAATGAAGAAGAAGATCCAAGTAGACAGATAAACCTACATCGAAATCTCCGAGTAATGAAGGAGTAAAAAAATTATGGATTGCTTGAAAAATAACAAAAGCCCAGGAAGGGATCAAATAACAGCCATGATATTCAAATATTGAAGGGAATCAAATAAATGAAGAAATGCAATTATTAATACAAAAAGTAGTATAGAACTAAGATCAACTGCCAAAAGAATGGTCGGTAGCCGTAATATGTCATTAATAAAGACTAAACTGAATACCAAAATTACAAGGGATTACTATTAGAAGCACACATACAAAGCATTTATTAGAAACAAAAATGGATGACGTAATTGAAGAATCCCAGGCAAACTCCAGATCAACAGTTCGAATGTAGAAAATTTTTATTTCGAGTAGGGACTTATGCTCCCGGTTAATAATCTATTTACATCGGCATATTGCCGTAAAATTTAATATTTTTAAGTATATTTTCATCTAAGCAGGGTTATCAACATCAAAACCGACGATGATTTTATTTAAAGATATCAAACAAGCTTTTGATAGGGTTAATAGAAGTAAACTGTACCAATCACTGTAAGAACTAGGATTAATAAAAAAACATTAACATTACGAAGGACAGAGAACCAGGTAATGATAAACAATAACAATAAGCGCTCAGAAAATTTTTTAGTAAATGAAGGAGTAAGACAAGATGTTCTACCGTCATCTATTCTGTTTAACTTCCTCTTAGAAAAGATGCTACAGGAAGCTCATTTTCCTGTGTGGAGACTCTAGTAACTCCACATTACTAGAACGTCTCAGCAAGACTACTGAGATCATAAAAAGCATCAAGCAGAGAAAGCTGGAATATTTTGGACATGTAATGAGAGGTCCCAAATATAGATTGCTACAAAATATCATGCAAGAAAAAATACCAGGCAAACGCAGTCCAGGACGAAGAAGAACCTCATGGTTGAAGAACTTGCGAGATTGGTATGGTGTAGATACAAGCATGCTATTTAGGGTGGCAGTGAATAAAATTAAAATAGCTATGATGGTAACCAACGTTCTGAAAGGACATGGTACATGAAGAAGAAGGAAGCTTATGTAAATAAAACCGGAATTATATAGGTATATCATAAGGCCGACGTTCGCCAATGACTTTGCAATACTGGTGAGAAGTGAACTGAACGTATTACATATAGCAAAAAAGCCCTTACTGTATTGAACGATGAACTCTTTCATGGATATATTTTTAAGTACAGTATTTGCTGTCGATTTTGTAAACGATATATGTAAATTGGTTAAGAATTAAGTTAGCAATGAATCATGGTATTTTAAAGAAAATTGGAATAAGTTGTAGCTTTCTATCACGACTTTTCCATTTTAACTAGTGCCTCAAGCTAATTTGTCAATACCGCTTCTATTAATATTATAGCAAATGTATACTTTGTTATATTTACTATATTGGAAGTTCTCAAAACCGACTTACCCGCATATCTTGCTCCGACCGGAAATCCTTGCATATCCAAGCTAAAAAAGAAGAAAGTCGATAACAATCCTGATTTATTTATAGTGTCAAATCGAATAGTATGGTAAAGATTTATTATAGGCAGGAAGTAAAAATACCTATCAAAATATGTAATAATGCAACAGCGAGAAGAATGAAAACACTCTTAATCATCGCCAACTGTAACCTAATAATGACGAAGTACAATAAAGATGTTCTTTGTGAGAATTTTAGAACTATTTGTATCATTCATACAGTTAATTAAAAAATATGTTATTATCTAAACAAGTAATAATAAAAGCCGTAGTAGTCTTGTAAAAGAAATATAAAAATAGATTGTGTAAATGTTACATGAGGATCTACACAACAACACAACATAGATATTGGAGAGAACATTATACTTGTTCTTGTGAATAAAAAAAGCTTAAAATAAAGTATGACATAATAGGCTACTTCTACGGCACAATATTTTATATATATGAAGACTGTTTCAAACCAGTTAGATTATAATTTACTGATCTACTGACTTCACATATGTGCTACTTGTCTCTGTTTTCAGAATAGTCGTTATTTTCTAGTTTTCTACTATGTTTCGCTTATTCCTGATATATCTATCTTTAATATTCGATTACTTCTTGTGTGGGAACAAAGACATTTTTGGAGATATAACTACTTTCAATCGATTCACAACTGGCAGCGATTATTGCCTTTTAAGAGCAAGAATTCTTGTTAAACAGAGGAAAACCAGTAGAAACTGGCCACATAATTATTATAATCATTTAGATCAAACTAAAGTGCGACAGAAGGAAGATAAATACAGAGAAGTCTTATGAAAAGAATTTGTAGAATATTATCAACAAGAATATTTCGACATGAACACAATTAATAAAGAAATGCAACGAATGCTCTTGAAACCAGAACTGACTGTTGCAAAGAAAATGAAAAATAAAGAAGACATAATAAGTGATGGAACAAAACAATTGATAGAAAAGAGACGCACATTTCTAAGCGAAGGAAAGCGAAACACCGATGGTTTCAAAGAATTGAATAAACAAATAAAGAAAGAAGTAAAGGATGGTATAAGTATCTACAATGAAAACAAGTAGAAAAAATAATAGAAAAGAACGGAGACCTGAAATGCTTAAGCCTATAATAATCTCATTGATGGATGAAGATGGAAAAGAAATCAGAGAAAAGAACGAAATCCTAAAAGTTACTCAAACATTTTACCGTGATATATATTCCTTAAACAAGAACCCAAATAACCCTACAAAGAAAGATTCTTAAGAGAAAGATAACGAATGTCAACTCAGAAATACTCCCTAACATAGAATCCTTCAAAATAAAACAAGCTATGGCAAAACTAAAGAACAATAAGGCTCCGGGCCCAGATGGATTACTTGTAAAAATGCTGAAGGAGGGGAGTGAGAATTCTCGAAGAATTGAAAAATTTTTTCAACAAATGTCTTCAGAGGAGAAGTTCCAGATGATTGGAATGAAAATTTGACAATACTTCTTTTAAAATAGGAGACAGAAGAAATCTGAAGAACTATAGGCCAATGTCCTTGCTATTCCAAATGTACAAACTGTTTATGAGAGTAATAACTAACAGTTTAATGTCGAACCTGGATAGCTATCAACCGATAGAGCAGGCAGGATTCCGAAAGGGTACAGTAGAGCAAATCATCTTTTTACAGTAAGAACCTTGTAGAGAAAGTCAATGAATATCACTTAGAACTTATAAATGGCTTCGTTGATTATAAAAAGGTATACGACTCCATAGAACTTTGGGCAATAGAGAGAGTTATGAACAATTGCAGGATAAACTCCCGATACAGAAGGCTCATACATAATATTTACAAAAAAGCTACAATGAAAATACAAATAGATGCGAAAACCAAAGCTATACCGATCAACAGAGGAGTTCGCCAGGGATATGTTATCTCACCAAAGCTATTCACACTTGGACTAAAAGACTTGTTTAAAAACATTAACTGAGCAGATAAAGGAATAAATGTTAATGGAAGAAAATTGAGTCATTTTAAATACGCTGATGACATTGTAATATTCGCTACAAGTTTCAAAGTATTATTGATTTATGATATGGAAGAATACCTTAAGATTCTATGCATCAGAAGATAGAGCGAAGTTTCTAGGAATCTACGGGAGCGGCAACTTCTCTACGAACAGACCAAGGGGATTGTCGATGATGATCATACTAGTGATTTTATTTAGAATGGAATAGGAGTTGTGTGCTATTTCATTTAAAACGTTATTCAATTGTCTCTTCAGTAATTTAAACATATTTCAAATATTTATACAGGGTGGCCTTTTTTAATTAAACTAATTTAACAAAAAGAAGTATGTATGTAATTTATTTAATACAAAATGCATTTTACTGATGTCAGAAAAGAGAAAAACAAAACGTCTATTTGACAAAAATAATTGATTTCACTTAAATTAATGTTCAAATTACCACCTGCCTCTTGGAAGTAATTGTACCGACGACGACAATCTTTTTGAACGAATATTACAAATTTTCAATTTAATTCTGTTTTTAAAATCTTGCAACATTTGTGGTTGATCGATGTAAACTTTTAAGTTTTAAGTAATCCCGTACGAAAAAATCCAGTGGCGTAAGATCTGGAGATCTTGAGGTCCACTTTATTGTTCCTCGTCTACCAATCCATCTCCTAGGAAAACATCTGCTTGAAAAATCACAAACAGGGACAAATTAAATCATAAGATTTCATCATCAGTTGGCGCTACAGCCCTTCGTGAGCCTTGGCCTGCTTCAAAACATTCTTCCATCCTTCCCTATCGAGTGTCTGTCTTCTCCAGCCCCTCACTCCAATCTCCCTCAGATCTTCCTGTACATGTCCACAGACCCTGTTCGTTTACTCCGCCAAATATGGTCCTCAATACTTTTCTTTCAAAGACTCGTAGTAACTCTTCATCTAGGGTCGTCATTGTCCATGTTTCCGATCCGTATGTGAGCACTGGGCGTATTATTGTTTTATAAAGTTTGCACTTTGTTGCTATTGACATACTTCTCGCTCTTAGTTGAGGGCCCAGGCCGAAATAACAGTGGTTAGCCACGCATAGTCTTTTTTTTTATCTCGTTGGATGTGTTATTTTTGTAGTCTACCAGTGATCCTAAGTAGCAGAATTCTTCTACCATTTCTATCGTTTCGTGTTGCACCTCTAAGTTATTTTGTTGAATTCTTGATATGGCCGGCATATAATCCATAAGATTTACCGCTTGTAATAACGTTTTTGATTCTATAAATTTGTTGATAATAAACCAAAAAAATATGGTTACTAATTGGGTATATTTTTTTTCAGGTACTGTGAACGCCAACGGAGAAACGAAGCGCCAAAGGACGTCGTACACTAGGTACCAAACGTTAGAGTTGGAGAAAGAATTCCATTTTAACAGGTACCTGACGAGGCGGAGGAGAATTGAGATAGCCCACGCTCTCTGCCTCACCGAACGACAAATAAAAATATGGTTTCAAAATCGGCGGATGAAGTGGAAGAAGGAACACAAGATGGCCAGTATGAATATCGTTCCTTATCATATGTCCCCATATGGTCACCCTTATCAATTTGATCTGCATCCTAGTCAGTTTGCCCATCTTGCAACTTAGGATGTTTTTTGAATGTGATTCTGTTATTATATAGGTATTTTTATTTTGTTTTATTTTCGTTTTTTTATTTTGTTAGCGCCAAATTTGAAACAAATTCGGAGCACACAGGGAACACTTAGAAGTTTTGAATTGTATATACATTGTAGTTTAATAGTTCCAATAACTAATACATACAGAATACAAATATGCTTTATATGTTGTATTAGCTTATCATTAAGTTCATTTTTGCTGTTTAGAAATTGACAAAATCATGAAAGAATTTGAATTAGAGTGTAGTTCCCCGTATTTGTAATTTTTGAATACACGTAAGGTAGACTTTATGGTCTCGGATAGAGATAGGTTAATTATTAACAACGTGGTTTCTGGTTATTGGTATATCTCTTACTCTACACCATTTAAGTAAAAAATAATACCAGATCTCTTACAATCTTCTTCTTTAGTTGCCGTTAAACATTTTTATCTTGAAGATAAAGTTCTTAAAAAAGAAAATATTTCCGGCTCCACCTTACACTTGGATTTAATGCATAATAAATTAAATCAAGTCATTTTCTTATTTTGGTTAATATCTTGATATTCAATTGTATTTATCTTGCCTGTTTCTTAATATCTTTTACTAGTACTGTTCCATTATTTTTGAGTCAAATTCACATCTGCATTTTTCTATGTGCAAATTGATGACCAATAAATCGATTAAAGATGAGAAATCGCGAGGATTTGATGACCTGCAGAATAAGCCATGCATTTAAACTATTCTTTAATATGATTAACTCTTGTAAAAACACTAAATTAAAAGAATACTTAAGTGAAGTGCTCCTCAAAAACGACCTCTCCTAGATTTTTATAGTCAAAAAGAGTGTGGTGGATCGGACAGTTACTGATATCTCTAGCTCCAAAAAAAAGTCACATCTCAATCGAAAACTATGAAGCAACTGAGAGAAAAACAAAGTTTAAAAAAAACACCCTTTACGATGACAGCACACTAAAACTATATCAGAACAAACTAGACCAAAGAATTCAAGCCAGCAATTTGATTAACCCAGTCTGAGAGACTTGCATACCCTTAAAATGACATTCAAGTCATTCCAGCCTTTTCCTCCCTATAGCACTCTGACGCATGTGATGCATTTTGTGTGGAAGTCTTGATAACAAGCACTCCAATACGATATCCTATCCCGATCAATGCAGACTAGCGTAACGCGTTCTTTTCCTGCTTTCTTTAGTGACGTATCTATCTATCTATCTATAGCCCAAATTCTATTCATGTGTTGAATATAGGCCTCTCCTATTTGTCTCCATTTGTCTCTGTCTTTTCTTTGTCTTTTCCACATTGGACCTGCGCTTTGGTCAATGTCATCTTTCCATCTCATTTGCGGTCGACCTCTTGACCTTTTTGCAGTATATGGTCTCCAGCGGCCAATTTCTTTATTCCATCTTCCATCGTAATATCTTTCGTTATGCCCAGTCCATTTCCATTTTAATTTCAATGCATGTTCGACAGCGTCTGTTGTTTCGGTTTTGCATCTTATCCACTCGTCCACTCTATTCTTTTTATCTCTCAACGATATTCCCAACATTTGTCTTTCCATAGCTCTTTGAGTTTTCTTTATTTTATTTAAGTTGCTCTTGGTACACGTCCACGTCTGGGTACCATATGTCAGAACAGGTAGGAAGCATGCATTAAATATCTTCGTTCTTAATTTTAAAGGTATTTTTTGGTTTTTGATAGTATATGAGAGTTTTCCGAATGCAGCCCACCCCATTCTTAGTCTTCTCGTTATTTATTTAGTCTGGTTACTTTTGTCTGCTCTGATAGCTTGTCCTAAGTAAATATATTCTTGGACGTGTTCTATGTTTGTTCCACCTATGGTAATTACTGATCTGTCTTCTGTGTTAGTCATTATTTTAGTTTTCTTTAGATTCATTTTTAGTCCTTTCTCAAGAGATGTTTTTTCTAGGTCTGAAATCATTATTCGTAGTTGTTCCATAGTTGTTGCTATCAGAAATACATTATCGGCGAATCTTAGATGATTTAAATATTTCCTGTTTATACAAATCCCTTTATTGTCCCAGTCTATAGATTTAAAAATGTCTTCCAACGCCAGAGTAAATAGTTTGGGTGAGATTGTATCCCCTTGTCTGACACTTCTACAAATTCTAAGTAATGGAGTTTGCAAATCATCGTAAGTGACGTATCATCGAACTGAAATTGCTTGCTCTGCCCCGAATCTCCGCTCCGAGCCGCGCCCGGTTCAGCGACTCGGTGCCCGAGGATGTTTTGGAGTTTTGTTAATTTTTTTATGGCTGTCGCCTTTTTGTTAGTTTTTTTTTAATTTTTTTGGTAACCAATAGTGCGTATGTAAACCACGACACAAATATGATTTATGCCCACATATTAGGAGTATAATCGCATAAGAGAGCTGCATATGAAGTCTTGGAAAAAAAGCGACCTACCGATAAGCAAAAAAGAGCACATTATGGATTGATGAGCTTGGACAACAGAAACAGATAAACGAGTGTATCATAAATTGCTTACTACCCAAGAAGTAGACGATAAAATCCAATATCGCAATCAACAAAGAATTTTTAATTGAATGGCGATAAGACATAAAAACCAAACATTAAAATGAAAATGCAAGAAAGTGAAATCATGTCTAGGTGAAAGCAAGATTTCGGAGGCTTAGAAATTCATAAGAAATCTTAGGAAGGAGGACAGATGTATACAAGTTGTAGACATATAGTATTTCATTCGACTTGGACGTTTTTGATTATATGATTTTCTATTCTTTGCATTTAATGTTTTCTTGATTGGTCATGTCAAAGAAGATTGTTTTCAATAACTCGATGATAATTGATCAAATCTGAACAACCCTTCCAAAGACCTCCACATTACTTAGAAGTTTGTTTACGCTTAAGTTTTTATATAAAAGTAAAAACTCGACTGTGGAGACACTCCGTGAACTTTCATCATCATCATCATCAACCAGCCTCTAACGTCCACTGCTGGACTGCTTTTCCACTTAGTCCGATTTTGCGCCATCTGAATCCAATTTGTAGTCACTCTTTTTATATCATCTGTCCATCTCGTTGGGGGTCTACCTCTAGTTCTGTTAGCTTGTATTCGGGGTCTCCATTCCAAAATTCTTTTTGTCCACCGTTCATCAACTGATCTTGCTACATAACCAGTCCAGTTCCACTTTAGTGTTGTTATCCTTTCAATAGCGTCTGCTACTCCTGATCTTTTGCGTATAGTAGCATTGGGTATTCTATCACGTAGAGAAATCCCTAGCATTATTCTCTCCATTGCCCTTTCCGCAACTTGTAGTTTACTTACTGTTATTCTTGTGATTGTTAGGGTTTCTGCGCCGTAGGTCATCACTGGCAAAATACACTGATTAAATACTTTTCTTTTCAGACACATTGGAATCTTAGACATAAAAATATCCTTCATGTTTCCAAATGCACTGTGAACTTTACATAATCTTTATTATTCACTTTCATGGAGAAAAGTAAGGTGTCTTGCTTATTGACTATCTCCTTTTCTTATGAGCGATCCTTTTATTGATTGTCTACTGTAGATGTGCTCCCTAAATTGATCAATCTGCATTTAGCTTGTAGTTTTCATTGAAATATGATTTTTTCTCCTTATGGAATATATGTAGATTTATTGTGATAAACCAACAACAGAAATATTTAAGAAAAAATTAGTTAATACACTTTGTTGATTATTTAAACACATTTATGTTAATTTTTTATGGATTTGTAATTAGATAACTAACATTAAGACATAAATAAAATTTTAGCAGCTTTAACAATGGCATCAATTTCTAACCCATATTTTTGTAGTTATTGTGAAATATGCATGCCCACACTTTATTATTAGTTTTATTTGAAAAACACGAAAGTTTAAGAAACTGTTTCCATCCTTGTCAAAGTAAACTAGCAAAGAAAAGTCGTTTAATGAAGTATACGCTTTTCCCAAGTATATTTCTACTATTTCTGCTACGACTATGATGTCACTGTCCATGTAAAAGACGTAAGAAATTTTCATGAGAACATTTGCTACAGGGTTAGATACATAAAAAAAAGCTGAGACTAGATAATCTATTCAGAAGTCGTGTATACATCGAATGAATAAAAGTCTGAATGAATGGAGTCATAAGCTGTTTTATTGAAAAAACATTTATTTAGAAAAAAACTATATTTTGACAAAACTATAAACATAAACTTACATTATTCAGTAGGACATATGTCCCCCTTTGCCTGCAATTACTGCTTTTATCCATTTTGGCATAGATTCTACGAGCTTCTGACAGTTCCCAGATATCCTTTTGTCTCGAAAACAAACCTGAACGACCGCATCTATTATTTTTGTTTTTGTAAATTCCATCATTTCCTTTAAGTTGTGACAAGGAGCAGAGTCCTGTTAAAGAATCGCTCCTCCTTGGTGCTGACATTTTTGGAGTTCTGTGTCCAAACGCTGTTTCAACATTTATTTGTATTTTTCGATTGGTACTAAAGATCTAACCCCCATGTATGAAAAATATCCCCAGACGAATTTCGACCACTTGCTGGATTGCTGGATTAACCGTTTTCCGGCTAAAACCTTAACCACCGTTTCAGAGTAGTGGCCTAGCCACTCAATAAGCAACTATAATCCTTATATTAACCGTTACCTTAAAAGAAGAATAACTATATTATATTAAGGAACAACTTACAAATAACCGAAGGAAATCAAAAGAACGAAAATATTTCCGTGAGGCCATGAACTAATTTTGGTACTTACCGGTTCTTGGCTCTCGAGAAAAAAGAAACAAGATTTTAGAACCCTTGTTAAATTTCTCCTTAGAAATCTGACAGTGTAATTTTCTCCATTTTTTCTCTCTTCTCATCATGTTTACCTTATCCAGCCTGAAACCCATTCGCCTCTCGAAGTCTCCTCTTTCATTTGCTCATCTTTGGCAGTTAAAAATGTGAGTGAGAGCGTTCGGTATTCCACCAAAAGTGCAGTCTGCCGAGACAGATTTGCCTATTTTATTTTCGAAAGTGCCAAAACTACCATGTCCGGTCAGAAACTACGTCAGGGGAAATGGTTGAGTTTCCTAAACTTACATTCCTACCACGGCCTCAGATCTTGAATAAACTTCTTCGTTCACCTTGCCTTTCAGCTATCATTCGCCTATTCTCTCTGCTACTCGTCTACCGTTTTCTCTTTCTCTCTCATTCTGATCTATATTTCCACCTACCCTCCTCACATATTCCCTCGTTCACTCTTTGCACAAAAAGTCGATCGGTATCATCGCTCCAATGACATACAGAGCCTCATCTGAAACCGTCCTGTACGCGCTAGATACCCTGAGGAGCATTCGTCTTTGCAAGTCTCCATCAGCTTGTAACCGACTGAAAAACTCCTTACTGGACCCTTATTTTGGTGCTACCTGGGCCTCCAATGTTTTTCATCAGCCGTCAGACCTCCATCAGACTTTGGTTCGCCTTCTCTACCGCCTTTGGAAGTGTACTTCGATCCTCAGTCCTTCTGATTCTCTGATCCTAATTTTCTGTAGACATTAACGAAAATACCACACAGACCGATTACTACAGACTGTATGGAATGTATAAGAATATATTATTTGGGGTGTATATTGAGACTAGATAGATATAGAATATTGTAGGTGATCCTCAATGGCAGAATTTAAGTCGAACAAGTGCAGGCTATGAAAAATTCGATTGGACCAAAATACGAAACGCAGAACAACTTTTTCATATGGTAAATAAAGATATCATGGACAGACAAAGTCACCAATGAAGAAGTACTGTGAAGGATGGACACAACCGCGGATTTGATCAACATCGTAAAGGGCCGTAAGCTGCAGTACTAGGGACATATAATGAGAAATCAAGACAGATACGAGCTACTCCAATCCATTTTTCAAGATAAAATTTAAGGAAAAAGGGTTCCAGGATGAAAAAGAATATCCTGGCTTTCTAACCTAAGAGCATGGTATAGAAAGACCTCAACACAGTTATTCCAGTATAGCAACCAACAAAGTCATCATAGCCTAAATGATCGTGATATATCGTAGAACTTATAAACAGTTTAAAAACTTATAAACATGAACGTCTTATACCATAGTAGATGATATAAAACATATTTGCTAAGCGTTTAGGTTGTGTAAATTTAAATTTTGTATTATATAAACATGGACAAGACATTAATTAAGTTTATATTACTTAAAACTTAAAACAAAGAATCAATTCAAAGAGTTAGGCTTATGTTAATCAGTGAATGCTAGAGATTAAAAAAGTAGTTAATCATAAATTAAAATATGAAAAATGCAGATTTAATTTTTATGGAAACTAGTAATTGAACGTTTTTCAAATAAAACCAATAAAAATTTTGCTAAGCAAATCACCCTTCCATCCCTATGAAACTTGACTGAAACGCACTACCAGTAGATTCACTAAAACTCAAAAACCATCTCGTGTTTCAGATTTTCACCTGGCGTCCCTCCAGGACGAAGGATATGCATTCCACCAGGCCATGGGGATGGGAGGTATGGGCAGCATGCAGCGCGGTCTCTACGCTTGCGGAAGTCCCTACAGCTAGCCCTGGGCCACCTATAACGGAGACTGCGGCCCATCTTAGGCCAAAATCGGATCTTGGAGCAGTCTTCGGGTCGTGGTAACGCGATGGATCACATGGCGAGGAAACGTGGATACCGTTAATTGAAAGACAAGAAACAAGAAACTGTATTATATTCTAAATGTTAAAAGATATTCTTATGAGGAAATCACTCAATATAGGAAAGGGAGCTCGGTGCTTTGCTTAAATTGTTAGCTAGTTTCTTGTGAGTCAGTTTACGGGTGTTCAATTATACTCTTGCGTTGTTAACATGTGAAACGTCATGGAGTACCACGATTTCTTCTTTGTTTTGTGCCAATAAACGCTTGACGTATTGGTTACTATATATAGCTGTGAAAATAGTAGTGACAAGTTTCCCAGCTGGTTTTTTAATAATACCATCTTCATAAGAATCAACCAGAGAGTAGGATGTATATGAGAAATTTATACTTTGCCAAAATATTTTTACGAACTCCTGATATTGTTGTATATTATTTTATTAAGTTATGTAATGATAAGAAGGGATTATCAGTAGTTCTAAAAATATTTGGAATTAATTTTAATTAGAGCCACTACAAATCAGCTTTGTTTTGTTTTATATACTCTGTCACGTAACCTTTATTCTACAAAAGGAATTAAAAATACATCTGATTGTGCAATATTGTTATGGAAATTATTATTTTGAATGTTATTGTATTTTTTACTTTTTTCAAAAAAGACATTACGCTCACTTTATTATCTTTAATGTGAACAGGGGTATCAGCGAAAAGATGTTCATTTTAAATATCTACATGTCTTTATCGACATTTATTAGATTATATAATAGGGTAAAATATAAGCTCCTGATTTGTAAATATATTTTATGTAAATTTGTTCATCGAAACATACCTAAAGTAGACCTAGATTAATTAATAAACGTGGCAATACAGAATTTGTTCTTCTTAGTATGGCTTGTCTTATCAAACGGTAGCAATTATCAACTGCATTTGGAATATTTCTACCACTTTTTGGTAAAGTGTTATTACTCTGGTTATACACCATTGCCGCAAGTTTACGGCACGTGTACTATTGCCTTCCAGTTCCTGTACTATTTTCTATTATCTCACACTTAACTTCCCCAGATCCTCTCTAACTGCATCTTTCCATCCTTTTCTAGGTCTTCCTACAGATCTTCTTCCATCTGGTCTTTACCAAAACTTCACTAGATTTTCCTTTCCGAAAAGACTCTAACTCGTTGTCTGCACTTCCATTCATTTGTCACACTATTTCTGCAACAACCATATATTAATTATCACCAGCAATTAACTTAGTTCTTTTTTTATTACTACTACTATCGGTTTACAGCATTATCCGACGCCTTCCGACTCCTAACCGCCATTCTTCTCTATTCAACCATAGGTCTGGAGGGATTTCTCTTTCCTCTAGTTGTTTTTCAATTCCCTCTCTCCAGCTTCTTCTCGGTCTTCCTCTTTTCCTTCTCCCTTGTGGTGTCCACGTCAAAATCTGTTTTGGAATACTGTCATCTGGCATTCTCTGTACATGGCCGTACCATATTAACTGTTTTGTTTTTATGTCATCAACTATTGTATGCTTGACTCCCATCATTTCTCGTATTCTCTCATTTGGTATCCGATCTCTTCTTGATTTGCCTGCTGCTCTTCTCCAGAAGTCCATTTCTGTTGCTAGTAACAGTTTCTCTGTTCTTTGTTTCATTGGCCAAACTTCACTGCCATATGTGATTACACTTCTAAGTATGGTGTTGTATATGAGTTATTTGTTCGCTTTAGATATTGTTTGGTCCCACAGAATGCCGTTCATCATGGATATGGCTTTTCTACCCTGTATGTTTCTGTCTTTTATAGAAGCATCGAGTGTTCCATCTTGAGTTATCTTCATACCCAAGTACTTGTATTCATCTTAGTTTCTCCTTTACTTCTTTTACTTCTTTTTTTATTGGTCGTATAATGGTTTTATTTATCTGCAAAGTCGTTCAACCGAAGTCCCCTCTCCTTGATTTGCTACTTGAGTATCCTCCGTGGTTACAGATATTTCCATACTCTTGTACAAATTGGGCAAGAGACGTACTCACTTATGATTTGTGTCTCCTCTGACGTCTCTGTTTTAGTCATACGCTTTCTAGTACCAGCAAATATTTGTTTATTATTCTTATATCTCGCTGATCTATATTTAGTGTTATTAATACATATCTCATACCAGCATGTCTGTATCAACACCTGTTTGCTGACAAAGCTTCACGTATACCCTTTCTTTCTCAGAAACTGAACTGATTTTTAAGTTCGGATTCAAAAATATTTTTAAAATATCAAAAAAGTCACAAAAATCACAAAAATGATTATGCTGTATTTGTTATCATATAGGCATTGTGACAGTTAGCTTCTTAGGTAGTGTCACAAAGATAGATATTTACAAATAGAAAATTTTGCCACTTCTGTTACATTAAATTAAATAGTTTCACTACAACATTGTGACTGTTCTTCTACAAATAGTTTTAGCAGTTTGGAATATAGTTCGTCTAGTGCAGGTATCTTTTTATAAGGAGTATTGCATTTTCCAAGTCATGCCTGGCATATCAAACCCTTGCATGATAAGTTAGGCAACTTACATAATAATAAAAAACACCTTAATAGTAGTTTCCTTGTTGGTTATTCTCAATAATAATTAATTAGACTTACTTTTATACAATCAAACAGCTTTTTACTTTTTTTTGCATAGTTTATTTATATTTTGAATACTAGCTGCGTTTGGCTTCTGGATTTTCCACTACCCTAAATAAAAACCACTATTGTTTTCCTTGCTTGATTATCATCATCAGCCCGTTTTAAGTCCATTGCTGTATATAGGCCTCCTCTCTTTGTATCAAGAGTGCACATCTTGTGCAGTCTTCTTCTTCCTCACCCTTTTCGTTTTCGGGGTCGCTGTTCCTTACTCTTTGTCGCCACTTATTTTTGTCCATCGTGTCTTCTTTAACTAAACCTTCTTCTCCCAAGTCTTCTGCCATACAGTCCTTCCATCTTCTTCTCGTTTTTCGTCTACCTCTTCTTCCATCAACTTCTATCACGTCTTGTGCAGTATGGATCCAATTTTTCGTCATCTTTTGCAGATTTTCTTGCCATCGTGAAGGTGATCTTCCTCTGTTTAGTTTATCTCTTCCTGGTCTCCATTTGGTTAACTTGCAACTTCCTCTTCCATTCTTCATCTTTGCCAGGTGGCCAACTCACTTCTATTTCCATCTGCAAGTTGTCTCCACAACATCTGTAACTCTGGTTCTATTTCGTAGGTCTTCGTTTATGATCGTGTCTTTTATTGTTACTCCTATCTTTGATCACTCCCTCCTTTTTTGTGCTGTTCTTAGTTTTAAGAACACACTGATCAAAGACTTTCCGCTTCAGATTAATCGGCATGTTACCGCTTTTAAATACGTTTTTAATAACTCTGTATGCTGCCCATTGATGTGCTAATCTTCTTTATATCTCACCTGTTTGGTTGTCCTTGTCCATCCTAATTTCTTGTCCAAGGTATATGTATTTATAAACAAGTTCTACTTCGTTTTTCTGACTTTCTAAATTGTTATTGGGCACCAGGTTCGTCATGTATTTTGTTTTGGGGATATTGGGAGATTTTTGGGGATATTTAGTTACATTTAATGTAATGAGCTTATTTTCTTGTTGCATGCTTTGATTTTCACTTTTGGAGACAATTTTATATCATATTTAGATTTTCTGGCAACTATTAGATTTTAATCAATAGGTAATGCCAGATCGTCTTGATTGAGTATAAGAAATTCACTACTTTCTTAGCTTTGGAATACTTAAGCTTATATGAGATTATAACTTTGATAATTTATTAATTTAAAAGGTAGTGTAAAAATGCTGCAGTACAAACGTTCTTCGTTTTTAGATCAATTCTTGACTAAATTTACTCTTGTAAAACATTGCATAGTTGCAGAATATTATTCCCTGCAATCAAATTGATATTGGGCTTAGGCTATCATATTGGGCGATACATGCAGTTGATCCTTTTATTCTGTTTTGTAGTGATCCATTAATTATTTTGTTAAGTATTTGCAGTGGGCTAATAGGTCTATGAGACAAGCTTTTGGTGGGGGACTTTTCAGTTTTAATATTCAGAAATTCAGTGAATTTACTTTGTATCGGATAACAAAGAAGATAAAGAATTCGGTTGTATAAAATAGTGTGCAAAACGATTACTTGGCAAGTGGTTGAAAATGTATTCAACTTTTAAGTCATCCTCGGAAAATTGATGGAAGTTTTTGTGTGTTATCTGTAACTTCTTATGGAGAAATTAATTCTACTGGTGAGTTAAATAAGAAGAATTTAAATAGTAATTTACTTATTTATTGTCAGTTAAATGTTTCTTAATAAAAAATATTGCAAGTAGTGTTGGTCGCGATTCACAATTAACGCTCAGTAGTATTAAAAAACAGCCATTTTCAGAATCTAATTGCAGAATGAATTCTGTGGGTCAGCAAATATATAAAGACAATATTAAATCAATCTTCTGTAAGTTTGCCTATCTTATTAGTTTATTCTGTGTTAGAAAAGGAGCATTTTTAGCACTACTTTCTAGACAATAGATATTAAAATGGACATACTTCAGATGAGCCCTCTGAAAAATAGTTATGATTATAGTTTGAGAAGAAAACAAGTGTGATTATATACTTATAAGGATAAAGTGTAAATACTAGTTCACCTTTCTGTAAATAATGTCATGGTTTTAAGAATAAATTATTACATCTTAGTTGCGTATTGAGTGAATGAACTTTGAAGATATACTGTAGATACTTAGTTAAAATAGATAATATATTATAAAGACATATGCCGAATAAAGCTATAAAATGATCTGAATTTTGTTTAAAAGTATACTAATAATATTTTATAAGTAAAGTCTTTTGGAATAAAGCCTCGTTTGACATACCGTTAAAAAAACTTTTCTTCGACACTGACGTTTTGAAACGTTCTGGAAATATTTTTAGTATAAATATTTTAAAATTACTTATGTTACATTTTTCGCTGCAGGCAAACTCTACAAAACAGTTGCAAAAGCGTTATGTATTGCAAGAATGAGAAAAGACATTCATTGAAGGCATTCTGGAATCTCCTAATCAATAAAGAGTGTGATTTAAAATTACAATTGTAGCATTAAGTGGAGATTCAAAAAATACATTTTTAAACCATTTTTATACGCAAACCAACACATTATACTCAGAAGTTATTTTTCGAGAGAAGTTTATTTGCACGTTCTTATAATTATTTAAAAATTGTCAATCGAACCCTATGAGAGTATGCGTCGTAATGGACGCAACGCGCTTTTTTATCGCTTGTCTGAACAAAAACAAGCAACGCCATAAGATACAGTTAACCGAAGGTGCAAAAGCGTTTGAAATGCCACACAGGTAAATTAAAAAGCGTCGGTTTTTTAAAAGAGCTGACATGTGAACAAGTTTTGAACCAACCATTTGTGTATTTCAACGCTTTTTAAAGTATCTTCATAAAGCATTCTTCAGCCATTAAATTTTCTATAACAAAAAAAAATAAAAATTACGAACAAAAATTTAATGTCTAGAATAATAAAAGACAAAGTTTATTGAACATTCTGTTTTTTTAATTATGAATAATAAAATAAAAGGTTTGTGAAATGTAGACGAAAACTCAAATAAAATTATTCATAATAACATTTAAGTGTCAACAACTTTTTGTACATTGGTTCCAAAAGACCTCAAGGTATAATTTATAAAGCGATCTAAAATAAATATATATTTACCATAATATAAAACTTTTCTACCTAAGGTAACTAATTTTCCCTTAAAACAGTATATCTTACATTATAGACGCAATGACGTACTGAGAATGATTGTAAAAACATGACGAAAAAATTAACGAATAAATTTATTGGGATTTAACTGGAATTTAATAAAATTATATACGGAGTACTTCTTAAAACGTTCATTCTAGCTACATGTTTTTAAGAATAATAATACTCAAAGATTTTGCCAAAAATCTTGTGTTATCACTGGACATTTTGATTGTATATTTCTTAGATAATAATTATTGACATGCCGTTGTTGTGTTTCATATCTTTTTTACATCTTTAAAGAGAAGAAGAAAAATCTGTACATAGCCACCTGTTACTCAGGTAGTGTTAGGTTCCTAGTATCCTAACGCAGTTGTGCCAGGACGAGATGCCCTAAGGGGTTAGGTTAGACCTTTGACACTTCGTTCCGTCACTTTGAGATGGTTGGCAACCAACTAAAATCCTCTCCTATGTCACTTCAGGCATCATGATGAAACCGCTGGTTAAAACATAACATCTCTTCTGATAACCTGCTATCGCCCGATTTCCATTTTTCCTCCCACATATTCATCGGGAAAACCACACCCACATCAACTACCATTTATGTTTCATCTGTAGCATGTTCTAAAAATAGAGTTCATCTTCTTACTACTACACCATCTCTCTTCGAAATTTAACGATGTAATTTGCTACAGCAACGAACGAAACAGGAGCTCTAGAGATCTCAATTGAGATGTTTTGCCAAGTCAACGTTGTAGTTCCTTGAGCCAAAAGTTTTGTCTTCTTTCTCCTGACCTTTTCCCCTGAATCTATCTCCTGTCATTACATGACCAATGTATCTTACTTCTCGCTCTTTGTTGCTTGGCGTCTGTTCCTCGATCTTCTGTATTCTGTAAAAGAAATCTCTTCGAAATTTGACGATATAATTGGCTACAGCAACGACCGAAACAGCACCTCTAGAGATCTCAATTGAGATGTTTTGCCCAGTCAACGTTGTAGGTCTTTGAGATAAGAGTTTTGTCTTCTTTCTATTGACCTTTTTCCCTAAATCTTCCTGTCATTACATGACCAATATACCTTTCTTCTCGCTCTTTATTCCTTGGCGTCAGTTTCTCGTTCTTCTGTATTCTGTAAAAAACTTCGGTGTTTGTTATTCTTTTGGCCTATGGAATACATAGTATTGTCCTAAAGTTACATTTCAAAAGCTTTGATGCGTTTTTCTAGTAAGGGGCTAAGAGTCCAGCTCACACAGTCTTAGAGAAGAAGGAATATATAACAGCGCAACATTTGAATTCAAAGTCTCATGTCTAGATCCCGCTTGACAAAGTTTTTCATTCCGATAAATGTGTTCCTAGCCTGCTTAATTCTTGATAGGAGCTTTTTTATCCACTCTCAACTACTATTTATTAGAACACTCAGGTATGTGATGGATGACACCTGTTCAATGATTCTGTCATGTAGTCCGAGGGCAGCATGTGTTTGTAATTTATAGCAAACCATAAATTCAGTTCTGGTGACGTTTATATATAGATTATTATGCTAGTTACATTTTAAAATGTAGCGAGCATCTGCCATCTATAAGTTCTCATATTTCCGGTAGTCGGCTCACAAGAACAAGTGTATCATCGGCGTATCTTATATAATTAATTTTTTGCCGTTGATTACTACCTTTCTTAACTACGTCCTCCGACATATTATTTTCTATCCTTATTCCTTATTCTCCTTATCCTTATCCTTATTCTGTACCCATTGTTCTGAGTATTTCTGCTAGTTTCTGGTGTTAAACGCAATCAAAAGCTTTGCGATAGTCAATAAAGCAGGCGTAAATTTCTACATTCATGTCACGAGATCTATGTGAAAGGGTATTGAGTGAGAATAAAGCCTTGAGTTCTTGCTCCATTTCTGAAGCCGAAGTGGATGTTGTTGACTTGTTGCTTACACTTTTTGGTAAAGTCCATGATCACATTTAAGGGTAATAATTTTGCGATGAATTGTCTTAGCACATATGTTCCGGAATTCTGGTATCCTACTCCTTCCGGTAGGAATCAATGAATGAACGTTTGTCGGGTCACCGGCGATGGGATCTCCGAATACAGATCTCTTGAAATATCCTCTATAAATTTGCTCAAGGTTTAAAATTAAAAATTCTATTAAAATAAACATCAAATTAAAGTACCCGAGGCACTACTTAAAAATGGCAATAAAATTTAATGATCAAAATGTTGCCATTTGCTACAAAAGTAAATATACGAAGTATAAGAGAGACAGACTAGAAGACTACTATAAGAAACTCTTAAAGGACCAAAGACCGCAATTTGTAGGAATTTCTAGATAAAATAAATAGAAATAATAGAACACGAACAGAAAAATCAGCAAAAGAAAAGTTGCACTGGGTCTGAGTTACATGATAAGGAAACTACAAGAAGAACAGAATGACCCACGGC